ATCCATCTCTAAACAATCATCCATACAGCTACGTGCTCCATCCATCCATCCATCCATCCATCCATCCATCCATCCATCTCTAAACAATCATCCATCCATCCATCCATCCATCCATCCATCCATCCATCTCTAAACAATCGTCCATGCAGCCACGTACTCCATCCATCCAACCATCTCTACAGTCGCCCAGGCTGCGTGTGCTTTTTTTACCATTCACCCATGCATGCATCCATGTACCCACCTATTCATCTGTCATCCCGCCATGCAGCCATTATTCTCTGCTTTCATCCATGCATCTTTATCTTCCACTCAGGCCTCCATTGTCCTGTCTCTCTGAACAGTCGTTTTCCATTTGTACCCATCTACTCATCCATCTGTCCATCCTGGTCTCCCCCCCACCCCCACCTGTCCGTGCACTCACACTCTCATCCACGTTAGGTGTTTTTAGAATACCACCTTCCTTGACCTGACATTCATGAACCTGCTATGTTCTCGTCTGCCTCCAGGCATGGAATATGCAGTTCCTTTTGCCAGGATGCTTTTTATATGTTCTTTCCCTGGGCTGAGTTTATACCTCCTCTACCACTCTGCCATGGAGTCATTGCCTCCGGACTTCTTCCTTGGACTCCTCGTCTGAATTTCTGTGTCTGGCCTCTCACAGCACCTCAGGTTCAGCTTGACATTCACACTAGCCCCAAGCTGCTGGTTAGAGGTTGTTTCTGGGAAGAGGGACCAGGCTTTGTTGATACGCATCCCTGTCTCAGCTCCTGGCAAGGTAGCAACTGTTCAGTAAAGGTTTTGACGAGTGGCCATATTGATCGTTTAATAGATATCATGTAGTGTACGTAGAGTCTGTACCAGTCGTTGTTCTAAGCGGCTTTACACGAGGGTCAGTCAAAAAGTATGGCTACCGGGCTCCACTTCGTACGTGCCCAGGTTCGTTCCCAGCAAGACGTGTTTGAACGCGTAGCCAGTGGGGGCCTGCACCTGTCTTTGTGTCCTTAGGGGGCCTTCAAAGCAAAGGGTCCAATCCAAACAGTGGCTTCCAAGGGGGTTCTGCTGGCCCAGCTGCTCACAGCAGAGGGCTCAGCTCAGACAGAGGCAGCGCCTCCAAAAGGCTGATGTTGTTAGAGCTTCTCCAGCCACACAGGCCAATCTCAGGGGCTTGTTAGGAAGTTGTAAGAAAATGGGGAACACGCATTGGTGAGAACAAAAATTCGGAAAATTGCACCAAGAAATTTGCTTTTGATCTTTGTGATGGTGACGAGTCCCCTGCTCGTTCTTTGAGGAGAGCGAGGACTGTCCTATGGGGATTTTGTTGGGAACCGGAAGCCCTGATCTTGCTCCTTCAGAAAACTTTTTGTTCTCAGACCTTGAAGAACATTGAAAAGGAAAACGATTTGCGTCCTGACTTAAGGATGTCCACACTACCAGTTTGACACCAAAGAGCGCAGGTCCTCAGGGTCAGAGAGGTGGACTGCCTTGAGACTACACTGTCTTCAGGCATGTAGTGTGAGAGCCAGCCTCCCCTCTGGACAGGTCGATTGTGTAATTGAAGCGAAGAAATTAAGAGACAGACAAAAGTTTTGGGATGTTCACCTCTGCCACAGCTTCAGGAACCAGGTCTGCGTGGAGAGAGAATATTGTATTCTCAACACCAGCTTATATACTCTCGGGGCATGCCAGCCCCTCTGATTACAGGTAGCCACCTATGTAACAAAGGGGGCTGTACCCTAACCCTAAAGGTCCCAGAATTCATTAGAAGAGTAACCTAACACCAGTGCTGGGGGCAGGTAAGGGGGAGTGACTGCCCCCTGAGCAGGGAGAGCAATCGATTGATCATCGCACAAATCTGTTCCTACAGTTAAAGCTGCCGGCCAGATAGCAATCAGCCAGTTGCTTGTAAGAGGTCACTTTAAGGCAGCACTATTATGGGAGAATATGGTGGGGATTAATTTTAATTATGAGAAGTTTAATTTTAATTATGTGATCGGGACTCATCTCTAGCCCACAAGTGTGAAGGGCTCCCTCCACCCAGAATCTTGGCCTGGCAGGCTTCTTAAACGATGAGAATAAAGAATTGGTCCGCCTACACTCTCTTCCCATTCCTTAGTTTCCCACAGTGTAGAGACATGGGTGGAGAGCATATTGAGAAACAATAGCTTTCCATTCAGATAGCTTTGTTTCAGAAAGGTCTCTATGATTTTCTAACAAGACCTTGTGACTTGCCCATGGACATGCGAAGGGGCTTTGACAGATGAGGCCATGGAGGCTCAGGGAAGCACCACAGCTGGGCATCTCAGCGGCCACGCCACACTGGGCCCAGGCCGTCCACAGCACAGTGGCGTGCGGGGGCACGGTGTGAAGTGGAGATAGCCCCAGGAACATGCCTCCTGAGCAGAAAGGCAAACACCAGATGAGTGTGCCCAGGACACACCGGATGAGAGCCCTTTCTGGGACCCGTTGGCCTTCAAGGAAGGGGTCCAGGGGCTGAGGCTCCATGACGATCAGATCTTCTGAAATCCAACAGCCGCCCACCACACCTGACAGTCCTTCCCCGAGAAGCCAGCTTTCCATCGATTCTTCCAACACAAAGTGCCCACCTACTGGGCGCTGCGGCCCGGTCCCCACCAGCCTCCAGCAACGGCAATACAGACGCAAACAGGACACTCCACCCCACCCTCCTGTCTGTGCAGCGCTCAGGACCTAGAGCAGACTGGCATAGATAGGGGCACCATGCCCCGCTGTCTGCTGAGGGGAGAGACTAGGGGGGTGGTTCTGGGTGAGAAACAAAGAGAGGAGGGACTGCAGAAGAAGGGCAGGGGAGTGGCCAGGAGGACAGCTGAGCCGTAGGCTAGGCAGGGAGACCTAGCCAGTGTGCTAGCCTTGAGGCAGTGAAGTGGGCCTAGGCTAAGGAAGGTCAGCTGGTCCCAGACCCCGGAGGGCCTGAGGCTCTGAGACCCTCTGTGCCAGGACTCTGCACATTCCCTGCGGGGAGTCAGGGGAGGCTCCAGCCCATTGGAAAGCTCAGGGTTGTGCTGTGCAGGCCATGGCACAGGATGGAAGTGGGGGGACAGCAGGAGTTGGGCGTGGCTGGGGCAGGGGTCATGGCCCTCGGAGAGGCAGTCCTGGGCCCTGATGGCTGCTTCCCCCGACCCCCCTGCTGCCCCCCTCTCAGAGTTTGTCAAGATGATGTCCCGCTGAGGTGGCAAGGGCGCCTCCAGGACTGCCAAGGCCCCCACCGTGGTGGTGGGGAGAAGAGGAACCGCAGCCACCGAGAGCCCAGGATGGACCGGCAGACAGATGGACAGAGGGGACTGCCTGCACGCTGCCGGGGCGGTGCCCACCCCGGACCCCACCCCTCCGCACTGTGAAAGACTCACAGCTCCTGCAACTGGAAAGGGGGCGCCCGCCAACGAAGAGGCCACAGTGCCAAGCTGGCCGAGGAGGTCACGCCAGGCGCCAAGTGCCATGTGCCCAGCCGCCGCCGGCTGGGTGGGCCAGCGAGCCCGCCAGCAGAACCCGCACAGCATGTCCGCCCCGGCAAAGCCTCTCGCCGCCCTCCTTAGCCCAGTGCCTGTCCCAGCTCGTCTCAGCCCTGTTCCTTCAGAACCAATAAAAAAATCTTTCCACAGGGAAGGCGGCCGTGGTGGTGTCTGCTTCTGGGGGGCTTGGTGGGGTGCCTAGGCTGTTTCCCAAGCACCATCTCACGGGCCAGAACCTGGTACCGCTGACCGAAAGGGCAACTGGAGGGACTGTTGTTTAGCGGGGAGTCCCTCGGCCCCCAAGCAAATCACATGCTCCCCAAAGAGGAGGGTGGGTGTTGGGTCAGTGGCCAGCAAGGGGCCACCAGACTTCCTGGACCGACCGCTCAAGAATGTTGCTGTCAGTGCCCTCCAGTGGCGACCCTGTGCACAGCAGCGCAAAGCGCTGGCCTGCCCGGCACCACCCTGGTCTGTCCAGAACGGGTAACCCCAGTGTGTGTGAGGGGACAGCTGTGGGGACCGCTGCCATCGTCTCTGCCCCTCGTACACGCTGTGTGGTGGTGCTGGATGCCACTGCGGTTTTCTGTTAAGAAAAAACAACGGGGTTATTGGCATATAATTTACATGTCATACAATTCAATGCTTCAGTCACATCGAGAAGAGTTGTACAGTCATCACCACAGTCCATTATAAAACGTTTTCTTTTTTCGTGTACTTATCCCCAGTTAGCTCCCCCAGCTTCCTCTGCCAACCAAGGAACCACTAGTCCAGTTACTGCCTCTATAGATGTACCTATCCTGGGCTTCGTATACAGAAAAACATCAAACCAAACCAAAACACTGACAACAATAACACATTAAAACAGACAAAAACCCCAATGGACAAGAACCCTAGGCTGTGATCTTTACGGCAGCCGGTCACCTGGTCTCTTCTACTGCAGCGCAGCAGGTGGGCTGGAACTGCCATCCTTTCATTTAGCAGCTGAGTGCTTAACCATTGTGCCACCAGGGCTCCTTCTATTCCCAGCCCCCACTTATCAACGTGGTTCCATTCCACACACCAGGTTTGTGATGCAAAATCAGCATTCTGCTCCAAAAAAGGAGGACGACCACCTGGAAGCACAAAATACGAGTATTTTCAACCCGTTCCATCGCCGCCGCAGCACGATATCACCAAACTGCTGAATTGTAGCACCTCGGAACAGCCAGATTACATTACATGATCACGTAACTGCCAAATTACATCCTGAGCAAAGCTGCCAAACCGCGGAGAATCATGACCCAGCCAAACCGACACACACCCTAACCATCACAGGCAGGAGCACTCTCGCCTCACACCTTGGTGTCCGATGCCGCCAGGTGATGCCGCTAATGTGCCCAGGAGTTGGGGACTTCCCACTGCCGCGAACGTGAAGTGTCCGATTGTGAGATCGTTGATAAGTGAGGCGTAGATGCACAGTGTGGCGGTCTGGGGTTGACTTGCTGTGTGACGTGGCCCGGTCGCCCTCTTGCTGAGCCTGTTCTTCACAGAAAATAAAACCAAACTCACTGCCTCGAGTCAATTCTGACTCATGGAGACCCGGTAGGGTTTGCGAGACTATAGAACTCTTTATGGGAGTAGAAAGCCTCGTCTTTCTCCCATAGAGAAGCTGGTAGTCTCAAACTGCCGACCTTGAGGATAGCAGCCCAGTGCATAACCACTACACCACAAGGGAAGACTATAAGATTAGCTCCGCATTAAGTGTTCTCAGGGCATTGCCCTGCACACCCCCGGGGGCACTTGTTCCTCTAGACTGCAGCGGGATGGTGCCATCTGAGCAGGTCTGAGCAGGGTCCAGTCTTCCTGGGTCTCTAATACAGGGTTGAAGGTTGAAGGCCATGTGGCTAGACATTACCCAGCATCTTCTGCAGGCTGGGGGTAGGCGTGGCCAGGTGTGTGGAGTGGGCCGGTGTACTCCAAGCCCATAGTTCTCAGATCTGGGAGAAATTGCTAAGCCACAGAGAGCTGGGCCCCATGCCCAGCAATTCTGACTCAGCGTTTGGAGTGGGCTCCATGAATTTGCATTGCTAACACACTTCCAGATCCCGCTGATGCTGCTGGTCCTTGGACCACACTTTGGGGAAAGCTGCTGTCAATCCCAGACCCCTGTGGGAGGCAGGGGTGCTTCCAGGGGGAGGATCTGGAGCCAATGGCTGTAGCCAGCAGGCGGAACACTTGACTGCATGTCAGACCTGGCAGGGACGGCGGTAATCCTCATGTCCCTAAAGCCAGTGGGGTCGGAAACACCAAATTCACTCTAATAATCCCATTCTGAGACTAAGCCTTTGGCTCCGTGCCCCGCTAGGCAGGGCCTCGGCCGTGCCTGTTCTTGAAACAGCTTAGCTCGGTCCAGAGATCCCAGAGCTGACACCTCAGAAATGTGGGGTCCTTGAGGACCAGAAGCTCTCTCTGCAGAAGGAGGCCTCGGAGATGCAGCTGTGTGTAAGCAGAGCCTGCCCCTGCAGCCCTCTTCTGGGCCTCCTGCAAGCACCGAGCCAGCAGCCCCTGGGATGAAGAACTGAGAGAGGAGGCCAGCATCTTTCAGGGGGCAGGGCTAGGGGACCGGGCTCAGCCTCCCGCCTGTTCTGCTGTGGAAACTACAACCCCACCCTACTTTCTCTGGCCTCTTGTGCCCAGGAAGACTGTTTGGGAAAAGGGCTGTTACTTTTAAAGAACCAAAATACACCTTTCTGGATCACCCCATCACCACCTACCAGTCTGTCTGCCGTGCTTTGCTGGCTGGCAGGCTGCTGTGACGCTGGCTGGAAGCTACCCGCCTGCCTTTCAAGTACCAGCAGGGTCACCCAGGGTGGAAAGGTTTCAGGGGCGCCTCCAGACTCAGACAGACTAGGAAGAAAGGGCTGGTGCTCTACCCCCAGACACCAGCCAATGAAAACCCTATGAGTCGCTACAGAAAGGGGTCTGGCTCACTTGCACTGGACCTATCAGGAGGGATCACACACCGGAAGAGGCCCCCGGCGGTGAGGAAGTAGGGGGTCACTGAGGATGAGGGATGGCCACAGTGAGGTGGGTTGGCACCATAGCTGGACCTATCAGACTCAAAAGCTGGCCATTGAGAGGATGCCTCAGGAGCCCTGGTGGCGCAGTGGCTATGTATTGGGCCGTGTGAAAGTTACATCATCTGGTGTCAATTTGAGAGGATTAAGAGTGAAGGGGTGGAGTCTGGCCCGACAATCAAGATATAACCAATGAGGTCTCTGTGTGGGCAAGGCCTTCTCCTGAGAATTCTGGGAACTCCTGCATTTCCTGTTTGGAGGTGGGAGACGCTTCTCTCTCTCTGCTGCCTCTCTTGGAGACTCTACTGACAAGGCTGACTCCCTGCGAGAAAGCCCCGAGGAGAAGCCACAGGAACCTACCCTGATGCAGCTCTGGAAATGGGAGGAGCCGGATGGAGACCTCTGTCAGTGCTGACATGCTTCTACCACCACCGACTTTGCACCCACTGGCCTGTGATCATCCTGCATTCATTTTCATTGCATGTGTTTCGTGAGTCTGAAGAGGACTTTACAGATTGGTATCGGACATATGGGCTAATATTGGACTTATGGGCTTGGGCTGGACTGGGTTGGGATGTTTTCTCAATATTCCACAGCTCTGGGGGAAAAAAAGGAAAATGAGCTGATTCCGGGAACCCAAGAGGCAAGCGAATTTTGGGAATAATGAGGGCAACAAATGTATAGATGTGTTTTATACAATTGATCTATGTATTGTGATGAATTGTATGAGCCCCAATAAATTGATTAAAAAAAATATATATATATTCCACAGCTCTTGTATATAAACTTCTTTCTTACACACATATGTGTGTTTATGGATTTCTTTAGGCTACCCAGACTAACACAGGCTGCTAACCAAATTGTCAGTAGTTCAAAACCACCAGCCGCCTCTTGGGAAAAAGATGAGGCTTTCTACTCCTGTAAAGAGTTCTACAGTCTCGGAAACAAACAGAGGGGGTTGTAACCTCATCCTGTAGGGCCACTGGGAGCCGGCCTTGCCTCAGTGGTGGTGTTTGGTTTCTCCACTTGGAGGGGATGGCTCCGGGATGCAGCACCATTTCCTGTGGCTGCACAGAGCTCACCAGGGCCGGCATCCCCCATCAGCGACCACAGCAGAGATGGACTCTGTCCCAAGTTCCGGACCCCAGTTCTGCTCGGTTACCTTCCAGGATGAGGGACCCCTCCAAAATGCCCCTTAGAAGCAAGGGTGAGCAGACCTTCTTCTCACCTACTTTGGACACCTTGTCAGGAGAGGCCAGCCTCTGGAGAAGGACATCATGCTTGGGCAAGTAGAGGGGCAGCCTAACAGAGGAAGGACCTCAGCGAGCTGGAGTGACATGGCAGCTACAGCCTTGGGCTCAAGTTTAGCCACCGTGGGGAGACTGACGGAGGACAGGACGGTTTCTGTGTTAGGTAGGGCTGCCGTGAGAGACAGCCAATTAGCCGGCTTCTAACACCAACATCTATACCTACCTGTGATGGGGGAGGCATAGCAACACGACTGGATCCCCAACCTCTGTGGTTGGGCAGTTTCTCCCTTGGGTTTGAACCACTGACCTTATGGCCCGCCTGGCCCATCGTGTTTCGTTTCTATCTACCAACCGTTCACCTCATGTCTTCAGAATGAGAACATACATTATTTTGTCATTGACTTATTTTGCTCAAGAAAAAGAGTGTTTCTCGTGGAGGGACCAGCACAAACCAGGGCTCAGAGGAAGTAAGAGTTCCTGAGTCAAGGGCCCTCCGTCTGGGGTGCTGGGCTGGAGGAAAGACCTGGAGAGACGAGGCTCAGGTAGGGCACTGAGGGGCCCGCGGACCTCTCAGGTGCTTCCTCCCTGGGTCCTCTAGGCCCCCATCAGGAACCTTTGGGCTTATGCAGGGCTTACCTTTAGGGTCAAGTCTGTCTGGAGGACAAGTGGAAGCATTCCCATGGCAGGATGGTGAAGGCTATGGGCTCCTATCTCCAGAGAGCAAGGACCAGCCTCAACGCGCTCCAAACAAAGAGCATACCAGTCTCCACTGTTTTGCCCAAAGGACACAGAGGCTCCCGCCCCTGGACCCAGACTCCAGCCTGCAGGAAATCCACACAG